ATGTAGAAGTTCCGGAATCTAAAGAGTTTTTATACCAAGTGTTGCTTGCATTTAAATTCTAATGGGGGCGCTTGTACTTATACAGAGCGCTTACTTGCAAGTAATGAGATGATATGATAAAACGAGATGGATCTGATACGCAAAATCGGAAGTGGGCTTGTGTAAAAGCCTCCTCCTTTTTGATTCGGATATTTATATTTGTATTTGTATTGCAGAACTCAGAGAACCTGAGCAGGATGTAGGGTCTGGAGACGGTAATTGTGGAGAGAGGGGGTTTTGCTAGAGGGGATGGAGGTTAGGTTGTTGCTTTGTTGCTTTGATATTTTGGGTGAGAATGGAAGTTCTGTTTTATATCTGTACTTTTTGGGAGGAGATTGGGAAGGGGAGGGAGAGGGAGAGGGATGGAGCAAGAAAATGAAATCTCGTCGATTGTGGTTGGGATAAGTAGCAATGATGATCTCGTTATTGTTGTTGTTGTTGTTGTTGTTGTTGTTATTATCGCTTTTGCTTTTTATTGTTACTTGGTCCTATGCATATACTGTGCTGGTTTTGAGTAGTATGAGTTTGCGGATGTACATTCAATACCTATATATGTAAGTAATAACTGGGTCTGGAAAGCTAGGAATCTTCGACAGAGAACCGAGGGTACGGACAAGAATACGAGGTCAATGGAGGCTGATGTATCGCTGTTGTTGTTTCAGGGTGGGAAGTTGGGGGCTTGGTTTATGTAGGTGCTGGAGGATGGTTTTTCGATGTGAGGGGTTTGAGGATGAGGTCTGGTGATGGTGGTGGATGTTAGTGAGTATGGAATTATTTTTATATGATTAATCTCAAGTGAACGTGGAATTACGAAAAGAGATGTATAAATAAACCCTTGAGTCATCTGGATATCAATTTTTTGCATCAGTATTGTATTTGTCGGCGTCAATTTTGGAGCAGGAGACGGGTATGCGATTAGTTGGTATTTGTTAGAATGGTATTGAGATTTATTCTCTTGTGTTTTGGTGGATTCAGTCGGGAGGGTGATTGAGATGCGGAATAGAGGATGGTGATGAGAGAGGGGTGAAGAGGCATTGGTAGATACTGATTGGTGGTGATTGTGATTTTCTTTCGTGTGTTGAGGTTTGAATTATTGCTGTTGTCAGTAGTTATCATACTTTACTAGCATTATTGTCGGCATCTTCATAGCCGTTATATCATTTCATTATTCCAGTATTCCAGTATACCATTATACCTATTCCTTCTTTGTAGCTACCTAGTTGATAATCGGTACTCACATAACAAGTAAGTTCGGCAATACTTGGAGATGAACGAATGCAGATTCTGTATCATATCTTACTCGTTTGGGGAGATATTGGAAATCGGGGTTATATACTTCTTATTGTGTGTGGCGTCAGACTTGAAGAGGAAATTGGATAAGAAGCAGTTGAGATGTCTCTGGCTCTTTGCTTGGAAATCAAATCAAGTCTTCTCTCTCCCTTCTACAGCCTTAAAGCTCCACCGTTATCGTCTTTCTTGCAATCTAGATTCAGCATTAACATTACATAGTTCTTCTTATGCGCCTTAAGAAGGGATACTACATGACTTATGCTCAATAGCTTAGAGTAGGAATCTTATATCATCCCAAGATTACGAACCTGGTGTATCTGCTATCCATCTAATTTTTTCCCGACTCCCGTTGGCGATGAATTAGCAACGAACTTGTATCATCACTTCTCATTTACTCTTGTTATTGTTACCGAAATTTCCTATCGTCGTTGATTCCATAACTTGATGGTTATAACTTCTTGACACTTTCTCTGCTTACCAAAATTCACATAGATATACTCTCAATTCCGTAGCTTCTCAGCACACAGATCACAGGAAGAAAACTTCTTGTTGTATTGTGGCCGAAAATGAACTCGTTCCCCATTCGATCGTTCCTGTGTGTCTCAAGAGTTGTCTATGGGGAAGAAAATTGTTGGTGAGGTTGTGGTGCTTTATGTTCGCATGGGTTGGATTAATCTTAGTGTAGATAGTCAAACAAGTGATTATTGAGAAGGGAGGAAGGAGGAGAAATTAGGTGAGTGGGGAGGTCATGCCGTATCCTTTTCGCTTACTATCTAGAATGGATCTTTATTAGGAAGCTATGAGAAGTGTATTCGTCCATGGTCTTCTGACCGATTAGACTTGCCAACTTGCACTCGCGAAAAGACGATGGTGAAGGAAGTGAGTTTGCGGAATTCTGCAAGGAGTTACTCCTCTTTTGTTCCGAAGAGGATTCTTAGAAAAGTGACTAGCGGTAAAGAAACCTCATCATCGTTATCATTGCCGCAGATAAGTTTTTGGTGATAGTGCTTATTATGATTTTCATTGTCGTTTTTGAGTATCTATTGTAGTTCTTATATATTGTTGACAATTAGAAAGGTCCTTGATGAATGTATCTCTACTCTATTCAACTCGCGTTGGTTTGAGAAGGATACGGATGACGCAGAACCTGAAATGTAGGCACTGGTTGTCAATGTGTATTCTGTCTAAGGAGCTAGCTAATTACAGGAAGAAGCAAGCCTTGAATAGGTCTTGCTGTGAGACTAGCTCCTTTGATGTAGGCTATGAATGACTTAAGGTCATTCATCTGACCTTTGTTCAAACAACTTGGAACTCTTAATTAAAATCAAACTCACAGGCTCTAAGATGAGAGGCTTTATTTCTATTTCGAATTCGGCTTGCTTTCTTGTATGAAATTGATCGGAAAAACTTATTAGAAGAATATATTAGAAAAACTTATGTGAAAAACTGATTCGAGAAATTTGTTGATAACACTCATCGAAAAAACTTATTCAAATAACTTATTCCCCAGCTCCCCTTCTTCACCTTAAGTTTTATCTTCTCTCCTCCTCCCTCTTAATTTCGATTTCCCTCAATATCAGAATACAACAGACTGTAGAGCTATACGTAACTGAGCTTGTCAAGAGTGTCTATTAACCAAAAGACAGTACATCTTGATGTCATACACGTAGTACACACATCAGCAGTAGCAAATGACATCACTCATCATCAGTCTAGATAAAACTTATAAGCATCTAAAAGATCACTTTGCACTCTGATTCTCACAAACCGAAATATCGACAACTTTCAGCTGTAAAGAAGGAGAGAAAACATGTCACATAAGAGGGAAAAGAAAAGCAGCGAATACGGACAAGACCGCACTTCTTGATAAGGGTAGAATATAACTCATTTATGTTCAGACGTTTCAAGTACTATGAGATTTCGGCTCTATTGCTTAACGCTAGGTTATATAATTTTACAATCATATCCTCGAATATAAGAAGGCTCAAACCAGTTCAATCATCCACCCGAAAGCAAAAATCTCAAAAGATCACGCATAAATTGTATTGCTGCTGTCTATTCGGGCAGCTCGTTGTCGCACGTTACATAGGCTCCATCATTACAATAATGGATTACACACTTGACCTTCACACATGGCTTACGAAGAGTGTGCGGCTTTTGACGATTTCCTTTTCAACCCAAGCTTGATTCAAAAGGTGATTCTCTGATCTGCTTGCCAGCAACATATCTTGATCTCCATTTTGCGCATTATGTCGAACTGAGAGGCGGTCGGTTAGGGTACCATCTCAGTATTATAATTTTAGAGTGGGGCTTTTGAATTCATCAAGGAGAGTGAACATGTCCTGGACAAAAAATTGATACTTCCTTCCTTTCCTCGCCCACGCAGACAGCTCCACTGTTTATTGAGGGAAAAAAATATGCTCAACGAATAAAATAGCAAAAGAGTTCACGCGCCCGGTGGCGCGCTAATCTCTGTTGACCTTTTAAGCGGTATCAATGACTCCGAAGGGATCGAATGCTCCCTACAAAGATACCGCGCGCACCTCGAGTTGTTGTGTCTAACCGTTAAGCTAGATTGTCGAGTTGTCAATACCACCATTTGACAAGAGAAATGGTAGTTGTTGACCCTATATTGATTAAACGACGATGCGCCGGCACTATCAAAATAGAAGTATCCTGAGGCTCATGCATAAATTTGATCACATGGAGAACCTGACTTTTCTAGAGATGGATGTAACGAACACACAAAATAACAACCTCCACCAAAAAAGTTACCGTCTAATCGTTCTTTGAATTGATCAATTTCCACAAATGATACTGAGAGCGCATCATTGCATCGGAATGTATATTGCAATACTTGTCAAAGACGAATAGTAATATCAACCTCGCAATCATAGCGGCATAGCCTCACTGGAGGTGCGCCGAATCGACTCCACATTCCTCGCTAGATGATTGATAGGAAAATTTGGTATGGGCAATTGATGAGTTCCAAGCCTGTGATCATGCAGAGCTCTGAATAGCCAAAAGAATAGTTCAAGTGAACTTTCATACTGTGCTTTTGACTGAATATGATTGATCGAGGTGCTGTGGAACATCTGAACGCTTGCTTAAGCAATGGATAGATTTCTGAAAAGCACTAGCTGGTGGCAAGAAATCCGAGTAATATAGCAATATCAAGTGATATTGAGAATAGCAAAAGAAAAGCAGAAGGTGCATTAGGGAGGATGAAGGGACGGACAGGTTGACTGCTGGAAGTTCAGTATACTGCACTATACTGCTGTACCTATCCGGAATGATTTGAAAAATAATCTGCCACAAAGTATGCCTAGTACTAATAGTTAAAGCATGAAAGCGATAGACAAGGACTTTCTCAACTGCCCGTCGCCTCAACACTCCAATTAATCAGTTTTTCCTTTCAATATACTGTGTCCTGTATCGGATTTCAACAATTGGTGCATTCCCAATGGCAAATCCATAGTTTTGCCCGTTACCCGTGGTGAAGACCAAATGAAGCGAAGGCGAACAAAATTTCACAACCGTGTTCGGAGCCACCGATATTGCTAAGCTGAATGTGGAGAAGAGGCATCAATCACGTGAAACGATGACGAAATAGCCACAGTTTATCTCGACATTTCCATAGAGTGGATCATCCATCATCCATCATCCATCACCCTCTCACGCCTCTCTTCCTTCTTTTCCTCCTTTCTCATAAGTCATCGGCCAACCAGGATTTGGATCCGAGCCAGGTTTTACACTTACAGTTACAATTACAATATGATAGATTGATTTGTTTGGAGGATTACTCCGGAAAGATATGGGGGGGGGTTTTCATATACTGTTCCCCGTCTATGCATTCTTCTAGGATCGTAACGAGGATTTCTTACAGATATCAAGTTAGTATGATGAATAAAAAAGAAAAGGCTGACAGTATTGCATGAGAGAGAGATTCTTGGAAATGTGGTGTGAGAATTGCCAATATCTCTCTCTGACTTGCGCGGGAGGTGATAGTTCCAGATATGCCTAGGAAAGTCATCGGAGCTTATCTCATTTTTTATTATTTTGGAGGCTGATGCGGGGCAATGAGCCATGGGCAATGGGCACTGATAATTGACATCGTACCGCATATCTATGGTGGACCATTGCACCGTGCGGTATATGAACTCCATTTGAATCCGAACTGCTCCTCGGCAATGAAGCTAGCTGTTGGATATGTTCGAAACTCCATCTTACCAATAGAAAGCATTGTCAAACACAACGAGACCCTGGTGTTTGAATATGATTCCAATGACTCGCAGATGTCAACAGCTACGGAGACTTAGAATTATTTCAATTTCAAGATACAGTACTAAGAAACCCATTCGTACAACATCTCCACCCCTCGCAACTCATAACAAGGAATATTTGGAAGGATTAGTATGCAAGTCAGATATTTAAATTTCACTCTTCCCTTCATCCAATCCCCCTTCGTCCCATTCCAAGGTTATGTGGACATCCTGAACTATTAAGTGTGTCTTTTCGCTGCACACTAAATTAGTGTCTTCTGGGGATGCTTGTAGTTCAATAAGTCTTTATCAAAGTAGAAAACTCCCCTCTAGCCTCGAGCTATCAGGAACCATCTTCTTAGTTTTTCGCACATTGATATGGATTCGAAAGCGTAATTCACTTATCCCTTTTCTTATTAATCATAAGATTCCCATTCATCTTTTATACATCTCACACGACCAAGAACTTCAAATACTCAACAATCCATATACAAGAGATAGCACTTCGCTGCTGTACTCATCAATCTGATCACTACAATTAAGATCAATCAATACCGCCATTAATGTGGTTTGCGCGGATTCTTACACTTCACCCAATTCACTATTCACCAATAGTTCAGTAAGTACTCATTCCTCCTCATCATCATCATGGCGTGATACTCGCGAAAGTGTACATCTATTGCGCCATCAACTCTCCTTTGTTATTAATTTTCTGTTGTAAATTTATAAGAATATGGTTCTGACTTCATCAAATAGTTTCCCATCGAGAAAATGGCGATAAATCAAGAATCCCCAGTCATGTCTTCAGGAAACAATTCAAATAACGATGTCGACGACAAATCCAGAGCAGAATATCTTAGCGAAGATCAAACTTCTACCACGGAATACAAGAAAGTCAGTTGGCGCAGTACATGGGGATTTGGTCCCGTAACCATTGGTCCAAGAATAGGTCCAGTGTTGCCACATCTTCGTCTAGATGCCGATGCATCAAGTCTCAGCGGGGACAGTGGAAAGGACCTTTTGAGCCAACAGATTGAAGCCGAAGCAGGTTCTGCTATTAAATATCGTAGTTGCACTTGGCAAAAGGTAATTCAGAATGTTCTCGATTGCAATCTTCGTATGAATGCTAACTCGTAAGAGACTGCGGCTCTTCTATTTTCAGAATATATCTGTTTGGCAATCATGTCCTTTCCATGGTCCTACTCAGTTTTAGGACTTGTACCAGGTCTTATTTTGACTGCGGTTATCGCATTCCTGGTTCTCTACACGTCCCTCGTTTTATGGGAATTTTGTATGCGTCACCCTGAACTTAGAGATGTTTGTGATGTTGGACAAATGCTTTTCGGTGGAAGATGGGCATGGCATGCTACTGCAATCATGTTTCTTCTGAATAATACCTTTATTCAGGTATGAATCATCAAACCCCCTTCCTCACAATTTCTAATATAATCAGGGTCTTCATGTTTTGACCACTGCAAAATACTTGAATACCATCACCAATCACAGTCAATGTACAGTAGTATTCGCCGTTGTTGCAGCTGTAATTTGTTGGGTTTGTTCAGTTCCAAGAACCTTCAGCGCTCTATCTTGGTTGGCCACATTATCCGCAATTTTCACCTTCATCTCCGTTATGCTCGCTACAATCTTTGCTGGAATCGAACCTCATCCTCTGGGCTACAATCCCGATCCTAACTCCATCATCGCAGCCACTGGTCTTGCTGGAGGTGCCCCTACCGTTACTGCAGTAATGCTTAAGGGTACAACGTTTGTAAATGGTTTCAATGCCTTCCTCAATATCTCCTACACATTCATTGGTCAAATTACCATTCCTTCCTTCATGGCCGAGATGAAAAATCCTGCCGATTTTCCCAAAGCTCTTTGGGCCGTTACCATTGCCGAAATTATTGTTTTCAGTTTGGTCGGTTCAATCATTTACGCTTTTACTGGAAATCAATACATGACAGCACCAGCGTTTGGATCTCTAGGAAAGAAATTATACGTCGATATCTCCTTCTCTTTCATGATTCCAACACTTATTTTCCTCGGTGTTCTCTATGCGTCCGTCTCTGGCCGCTTCATTATCAACCGCGTCTTCCATAACAACAAGAGACATCTTCGTGAGAATACCACGAAAGGCTGGGTAGTCTGGATTGCTATCTTGGCTGCAACTTGGGTTGGTGCCTTCATCATTGCCGAAGTTATTCCCTTCTTTTCGGATCTTCTATCTCTGATGTCTTCCCTGTTTGATTCCTTTTTTGGATTTATTTTCTGGGGTGTAGCATATATTAGAATGAGACGTGTAGATCACGGAGCGGGATGGATCGGCAAGACGAGTAAGGTTGGATTGAGTTTCAATATTTTGATTATATTGATTGGGTTGTTGTTTTTGACTGCAGGAACTTATACGAGTGTTCAGAGTATTGTGGATGGGTATAATGCTGGAACATTTGGGGGTGCGTTTACTTGTGCTAGTAATGGTATTTAAGTAATAGATAGAGGATACAAATTAGATTTGGGAATGAAGATGATCTGTTTTGTTCGAAAGGTGTTGGATAGATGAGGTGTGGTGTGGCGATACTGGTATGTGGGGGATAATATATGCGCATACGTGCGCTTTGGGGGAAACTGGTGGCGGAGTTTGGGAGTCTTACAAACCAATGGATACATAATGGTTTTGGTTCTGTGCTTTGGTCCATAGTACAATCGAGGACTTCCCCTTGAAGAGGAAACATAGTAATAAAAGTGTGATATATTTAATGATTAGTATTTGAATGAAGGAATATGGTGAGCTTTTGTATATTATACTCCTACTCAACAGGGGATTGATACAGTTTCCTTGATGTGGTGGAGTGGAGGTTTGGGTTGGCTTGTTCCGGGGAAGCGAGTGGAGATGAGAATTCGAAGACATGTTGGGCAGTGTGCAGGAGGATACTGAGATTTCTTTTGTTGGTGATTATTTGTTGCTGACTAAATGGGGGATCGGGGATGTATTGTTGTTTAGGAAGGAATTTCGAAGGAGTGATGGGGAATAGAAGGCCAAGGTAAGGAAAGGAGAGGAAAGGAGAGGAAGGTTTCAGATGAATTTAAAGAGGTGGGATGGAGATGATTTTGAGCAGAAGAGAGGGAGCTGTGGGAAAGAAAGGAGGAAGAAACAGACAAGGGGGACATCCTGCTCTGGATATTGCGTATAGGTATGAGTATATGTACAGGTAAGAGGTATAAGTAGTGGTGATACTTTTCGTTCTGGGGACAGAGGGTGGGAATGCATGATGTGGATGAATAACATAGGGATAACTCGAAGAATGACTCGTTAGGGAAAACACGAGGAATACTTGGGCTTGTCTAGATAGGTTTGGATGAGAGGTGAGTTGTTGATAGCATGACTAGGTACCTATGGGCACATCATCATCAACGGGGGTGTTATTAGTTTTTGACTGGGTATGAATTGGTTTGGTCTAAGGGAACAAGATGAGAATGACGATTCGTGGTGATGAGTTATAAATTCGTCGGTGTATTCTATTCAAGAGGGAATTGGGCATGGAAGCGGGAGATTATTCCTGAATTCGCATCGCAGTATGAGGACCGAGTAACTAGACCGAAAAGGAAGAGGTGGTGAAATGAACTGTAAGATGAGTTAAGGTCATACAGTATATTACAATCAAGCGCAATGGTTCGAGGACTCGGCAGTGATCAAGTGAGGAATGTTTACGAGATGCTAGCATGGCGAAAAGGATTCGGAGGAAGTAGATGGATGGCATAGTAATGGTAGTAGGAGAGGAGCCGGTAATCTTATATGAATACGATGTAGTTCTAAAGAGGTGAAGGCAAAGGTAAAAGGGTAGGGGAAGATATCGCAAAGTAAACTCAGATGCAAGGGGACTCATGCACGAGAGCTCCATTATTCGCTTAGAATGCGGGGGTGATACGATGAGATGAGTGGGATGAGGGGTTTGAGGCTGAATATGGAGGGGTAAATGGGTCTGCTGGACTCTTGGAGGGGGGGAACAAAGTGGAATATTTGAGAGTGTATGGATGTGATTTTCATTCATGTTTTATACGTGAAACATACAAAAATTTGTTACGTGGAATAACCCTAAATTGGAATGGGTATCTGATCCTCATCGTGAACTCGCCATTCTTCCATGTAACACCTTTAGAATCGTAAATTCGTCGTTCTTTTTGTCATCACTAGCGTTCAAAGCATAGGATATCTGCAGACAAGAATAATGAAAGTAGGGACAAAAATCATTCTTAAGCATGAACACTTCAACTTTCGCATTCAAATTTGGTACAAGAAAGTATCGACTCCATATTCTCGACGCAAGCTTTCTCAAATAACAGCTTCATGGCAGATGATTTAAACCATGGCTTAATTGTCAAGAACGTAAGTCAAAGCGAGAGAGAAATCCGAGGCTGAAAAGCTACAGGGTCTCTATGCTTGAGCTTGAGCCTGAGCCTTGAGAGCAACCTTGGGGTCCTCTCCGTAAACTGTTCTGTACTCTTGGACGTATCGCTCTTGATCTGCTACAGCAGCATCCTCAAAAGGCTATTGACGTGTTAGGGGGATATAAAATGAGTGGAATATTGTAGCTCACCTTGCGTTGCTCAGGCGACAAAGACTTGAATTCTTGTGTCATCCGCTTTGAGGATTCAGCAATACTGAGACTAGCAAATTCACCTGATGAATATCTCTCTTTCATGAAAATTAACATAGGTGAGATAACTCCCTTTACCAGTCGATCATCTTTAATGATTCTTGGGCTAGCAGGTCTGTTGGTCAATCTTCGAATGTGATGACGTGCATAATTCGCCGTGCGAATCTCCGCTGGCGTGTGACTCTCAACCCAATTCTTGTAGTTGCGTGAATTGACAGCCTTGTTCTCCTTCGCAATCTGTTGAAGTCGCTGTAATATGATTAGCATGACTTTACCAAGAGGTATCATAAATTATTTACCTCCAATTCTGCTGGCGATGCCGATTTGTATTTCTCTGATGCTTCCTTGGCCGCATCAACGGCAGAAGTTCCTTTCTTGACCAACTCAATAAGCAACACGCTATAGGCAGTATCAGGAACCTGTTTTGGAGCTTCTTTAAGGAACGCAATATCCTTCAATCCCTTCAACTTCAATCTTAACTTTTGTGAGTCGGTCAATTGCTTCTTAGGCTTTAGTCCTGGTTTCTTCGTAACTGTTTTTTTTGCTGGCTTCTTTGCTGGCTTTTTGACTGGCTTCGCAGTTTTTTTGGCGGTCGTCTTGGTAGACTTTTTGACGGCAGGCTTAGCATCAGTGGTAGATTTCTTCGCCGGTGCCTTTTTCGCAACTGGCTTCTTCTCTATGACAGTTTTGGTTTGGGTAGCTTTTGTCGCAGTAGCATACAGTCGGCGAGCCAAGAAAGAAGCTGAGGAAGCTTTCAAGGTAGGTTCGACATTGTGTTGACCTTCAACGCGTTGTGACTGGCGGACGGTAGCAAGAAGTCGGTTTGTTGATAAATTGGATCTGCCGATTCTTTTGAAAGCTGCGCGACCAAAGTTGGACAACATGATGACTTAAGAGAGTGACCAGATGTCTCACGAGTGAGGTGATTGGAGTGTACGGAGGAAAGGTTCTGATGATAATGGTGTAGACGAAATATCACGATTGAAGTCATCCAGCTACTTCTTTCTATTCGTCTAAACACTCTAGGGCCCGTACAGCTTCGAAAGCCCGTGCGCGTCAATGGTACGGCAGACTGAACAGACCAAAGTATCCTTAAATATCTTTTGGCAAGGGCAGATTGTTAACGAGATCAAATACGGAGTAAATTCTTGGAAACAGTAATCACGACCATTCTACAATAAATAAACGTCAAGTATTGTTAACCTCAAGTCTTCTTGATCTATTTAGTCTGAAATTATAGACTGAAACTTGGACGGAATAAATCTATTTCCTATCATTTCATCGTTGCCTAAAAGTATTTCTTCCCATCGAAATACCATCCATTACTTGGGCACAGAATGGCTCGGCACAGGGATTCTCGCTCACCATCGCCAACAGGAAGCCACCACTCATCGAGACGAAGCCGAAGGGATGATAATGGCCGACGCGATCGAGATAGAAGAGATGATGTTAGAGGACAGAGGCGTTCTCGAAGTCCTGACGTGAGAATTCTTACCTTTAGACCCGCGCCTCAATCACAAGATACTAACGAACATCAGTGTCGCGAACGTGATCGGGATATGACTCGTAGAAGAGATCGTTCAGTAGGGAGACTAAATGATGATTACCATAGATCAGGTCGTCGTGATAGATCTCGAGATCGCAGGAGCTATGCTGATAGGGAACGATCACCGGATAGGAGACGACGTAGAAGTCGAGAACGAGATTACCGTGACAGGCGAGACGATTCTTATGATGATAGGGCACGAAGACGCCGCGAGGATTCTACTGACTCATGGTCCCGTAGCAGAGGAGACGAAAACCGCGGACAAACTCCCAGATCAGATGCTGGTGCAAAAGCTAATGTGAGTAATTCTTACCTATATTACAAAATTTCAATTACTCATTTGTCGTCATAGGCTCCGAAAGCATCAACACCCGCAGCGCAAACCGAGGAACAGAAGAAGGCAGAACGTCTAGCAAAATTGGAAGCATGGAAGAAGAAGATGGCCGAAGACAAAGAGCGTAAGGAGAAAGAGTTGGCAGCAGGTGGGACTCGGAAGTTACTTGATGCTATAGATCAAAAGGCCAATGGATCTCCATCCCTAACCTCGCCAAATTCTCCCGCAACTCCTGCAACTCCTGCGACACCAGGCGATCTCGCACCTCCAACGAATTATGCTGGGAAATTTGATCCGAAGGCAATAGCTAAAAAGGCAGTGGCTAGCTCGAGTAGTGCAACTACTCTTGGGAAAGATTTACCATTAAAGGAATTGTCTCAAGCGTCCGCCACCTTAACTTCTACGGTCAAAGGATTACAAGCTGACAAAAAGCCAACAGCTTTCAGCAGCACCTCAAAAGGTAAGCAAAAATACTCCTCTTACATGATGATCTAGCTAATTGGTTCAATTATAGTATCTGCGTTACCTAAGACGAGGGGAAACCTCAGTGTTTTTGGACTTGGAGCAAAAGTTACCGACAATGAAAAGACATCTCAGAAACGTGCCTTGGATTTTGATGAAGATGAAGGGTCAAGAAAGAAATTAGAAAAGCTACCAACCCTACCAATGGCAAACTCCGAGGAAGATGATGCTGCGCTCGCTAACGGTGTTGAGGAACAAGATGATGACGATGATGCTGATTTGGAAGCTGCCGGTACGGAGGAAGAGGCGGCAGCTGCTGCTAGAGCTGCGGCGGAAAAGCGGGAAGAAAGATTACAAGAAGCCGAAGCTCAACCGCATACACATGGCGATGTCCAAATGGAAGAAGCCCCTCAACCCGATCCTACCGCTATGGATGAAGACGAAGAAATTGACCCATTGGATGCTTTTATGGAAGAAATGGGAGATCCTTTCTCATTGCCGAAAAACAATGCAACTTTTATCAAAGATAATATCAAGAGTCAACCACAAGAACCGGAACCTTTGTTCGGAGACGATGATGTGGACCTAAAAGCCTTGGATGCGGATCCTGATGAAATTCTTGCAATTGCAAATAAAGCAAGGAAGAAGAAGGACATTCCAACTATCAACTATAGTGCTTTGGATCTTCCACCATTCCGAAAAAACTTTTACACCGAACCAACAGAACTTGCAGAGATGACGGAAGCTGAAATTGCTGATTTACGACTCGAACTCGATGGCATTAAAGTAGCCAGTAAGGATGTTCCCAAGCCTGTACAAAAGTGGTCTCAATGCGGTCTTGACGTCAAGTCTCTGGACGTTATAACAAAACTAGGTTATGAAAGACCTACATCAATTCAAATGCAAGCCATTCCTGCAATTATGTCTGGCCGAGATGTCATTGGAGTGGCCAAGACGGGATCGGGTAAAACCATCGCTTTCTTGCTACCCATGTTCCGTCATATTCGAGATCAACGACCGTTGAAAGGTTCTGATGGGCCTATTGGTCTAATCATGACTCCTACGCGAGAATTGGCAACACAAATTCATAAAGAATGTAAACCTTTCTTGAAAGCAATGGGACTTCGTGCGGTTTGCGCTTACGGAGGTGCTATTATCAAAGACCAAATCGCTGATCTCAAAAGGGGCGCGGAAATAATTGTTTGTACCCCTGGAAGAATGATCGAACTATTGGCAGCAAATTCCGGTAGAGTTACGAATTTGCAACGTGTCACATATGTCGTTCTAGATGAAGCTGACCGCATGTTTGACATGGGCTTTGAACCCCAAGTTATGAAAGTTTTTAACAATATTCGCCCTAATAGACAAACCATTCTTTTTTCAGCTACCATGCCTCGAATTATGGATGCACTGGCTAAGAAGACACTTCAATCACCAGTAGAGATTGTTGTTGGTGGAAGAAGTGTCGTTGCACCTGAAATCACACAAATCGTCGAAGTGCGAGAAGAAAAAGAGAAGTTTCACAGACTTTTGGAACTTCTTGGAGAACTTTACAATACAGATGAAGATGCTCGAACACTAATCTTTGTTGATCGACAAGAGAAAGCTGATGACTTGTTGAAGGACTTGATGAGAAAAGGTTATCCTTGTATGTCTATTCATGGTGGAAAGGATCAAGTTGATCGCGATTCTACAATTGATGATTTCAAGGCTGGTGTGGTTCCTATTATGATTGCTACATCAGTAGCTGCTCGCGGTCTTGACGTCAAGCAACTTAAGCTCGTTGTCAATTTCGATGCACCCAATCATTTAGAAGACTATGTCCACAGAGCTGGCCGAACTGGTAGAGCTGGTAACACTGGAACTGCTGTCACTTTCATAACAGAAGAGCAAGAACAGTATTCGGTAGGTATCGCGAAAGCTCTTGAACAATCTGGACAGGAGGTACCCGATAGGCTTAATGAAATGAGGAAATCATACAAGGATAAAGTCAAAAGTGGTGCTAAAAAGGAGAGTTCAGGATTCGGTGGGAAAGGTCTCGAACGTTTTGATGCTGAGCGCGAAGCTACTAAAGCTCGTGAACGTAAGATACACAAAATTAATGGGGAGGATGACGAGGAAGAGAAAGAAGAGAAGGATGATGAAGTCCTTCTCAAAGCTGCATCAGTCGTTCAACCTGCTGCTTCTACTGCGCCTCCAAAGTTGCTTGGTGTGCCTAAAGGTATCGATCTCGACGGTGATATCAAAGTTCACCGCACTGAACCCGCAGCTACTACTGGCTCCAAACTCGATAAAGTTACATCAGCTATTGATGCCATTAATGCACGTCTTAATAAAACTGGACAACTTCGTTCTGGTGTTCCAATCGACAATAAAGGACCTGACGCAGGCGCTTTCCATGCAACATTGGAAATTAATGATTTCCCACAGAAAGCTAGATGGGCAGTTACGAATCGAACTAATGTGGCGAAGATTTTGGAAGCAACTGGTACTAGTATTACGACTAAAGGAAGCTTTTATCCGGCTGGGAAAGAAGTTCAGGCAGATCCCAAATTGTATATCTTGGTTGAGGGAGATACAGAGGTGGTGGTGACAAATGCTATGAGGGAGTTGATGAGGTTGTTGAAAGAGGGTACGATGGCGGCGGCGGATGCAGAGGGCAGAGCACCGGTTGGTGGAAGATACACTGTTACTTAGGCGGAGCCTGGGATGGAAAACTGGTTGGAATGGAAGTGTTTATATATGTGGATTGGGAGTGGGTAGTCACTTGGGTGTAATGCAAATATGACAACCATTCTATCAGTACATACATCTGTTTCTTTGTGCTTGATTCTAGTATTGAGAAATGGCTGAAGTGTTGAAGTATTGAATACTTATTTTCTAAATGCGCTTCACGTAATATCCTATTCCAAGACGTCGCTGTTGCTTCTCCATCCTGATCATCCCCCTTTTCCTTCTTCTTTCTACTATCAACTCCTCTATTCGTGCAAGTCGTGAAGTTCAGAATTATGTGTCCAAGAAAATTTAGCCGGTACTCCTAATCTATCCAATATGGAGCCCGCAAAGAAGCATGAAGAAAAGATGGGATATATCCAAATGGGCACCTATCCATTATCCAAACTCCTCTACCCAGTCCCTTTAAAAAAAATCAAATAACTCCACTTCTCCGAGTGAAAAAGTCCCGCATCTCAATTCTCCTGCGTCATCTATTGCCGTTCTGCTCTTTTTCTTACGCCATATGATTCAATCCCGTTTGGTGTTCAATGGCTGGGTTGTCTAATTAAAAGCTCTAGCTTCGGCGGCGGCATCTGCATCCCTCGCTTGTCTTTCTGCTGTACTTGCATTTTTACGTGTTGTTTCGAGGGTTTGGGATTGTTCTTCTTGAAGTTTCTTTCCCAGTGCGCCTTTGGGTTTTTTGGACGAGAGACGTGCCTATTTGGAAGAAGGGGATTGGGTTAGCTTGGCGCGGATTGGGGAGTGAGAGAACTAACCTCGGCGGCTTCGGCAGCTTTCCTCCTGGCATCTTCTTGTGCGCCTGATGATTCAGAGCCGAGAGTTCGGGCGGGACCACCGACGGTATAGGTACGGGGAACGGTGGAGGCGGCAGCGGAGACGGAGGGAGGGAGTGTAGATTTTGAGGGGGCGGGTTTGGGGGGTGCGGAGGAGAGAGTGCGGCCGGGTTGGTCGAAGGGGGAGGGGTCGGAAGAGGTACTGCAGCAACTGCCCATTTTTGTGGGGATGGGGTGTAGAGATGGGGAAACTGGGATGCGGTGAATGAGGGATTCAATCGTTTGATAGGTATGACCGAAGTATGAACGGAGGAGTTCTCGAATGATCTACAGGTATCGAAAAGGGTGTGAATATCCTAGACTGCGATTGCGATTGAGAGGCAATGGAGGTGGATGGGTGAGAGGGTACACTGGACAAAACACTAATTCATCGGGGTCTTCGAAAATAGTATCGCGATTGGAATGGTACAAAATAGCTCCGTAATTGTAGAACTTGGGGGATTGCTGTCGGCAGTGCGAATGTGCGAGATTATGATAGCGATAGGGATTGCGATGAAGTGGAAGTGGAAGTGAAGGTCGGTTGAAAAGAGGATGGTCCAAGTAATCTAATAATTCTGATCTTCGGTAACGATCTGAAGAATGCGAGAGATTTGGTGAGGGTTCGGATTCGTAGAAAGGTTTCTCGTAGCTGTAGTCTGATGATGACAATGATGGTGTTTGGTTTTGTGCTCTCTCCAAATCAGAATAACAATCTCTGTCGCATTCAAAGATAGTCTCGGTATCAATATCAACGTTGCAACCTCGCGATGGGAAACTCGTCGTCGAAATATGTTTGCGCGAAGTAGTTCTGGTAAGGGGAGGATGTGGGACGGGTGGAATTATGGGTTGTGATGGGATGGTGTGGAGGAGAGGTATGTGATATTGGAGAAAGTTGAATCGTGGAGTGCGGGTGAAGAGATGAAGTTCGAAGGTCATGATATAGTACCACCAGGGCCAAGAGTGAGGCTGTGTTGTCATTGGATGCAGGTGAGATGATGGGGAACCTTGGAATTGGTTGGGGGATTGACATGGTTGTGGGTATGAAAATTGATTGACAGGTGAAGGGAAGAGAGAAGTGGTTATGGAATTATTCGAGACAAAGAATATCATATTATGCCCTGTCGATGGATGAGAATGTTTGAGAAGCTTCATATGTATGTTCTACCTAAGTATCTACCTGTCTACCTAGTAAGTGTCTACCTATCTACCTATCTACCTGTCTACCTATCTACCTATCTACCTAGGTATATATCTACGTAGTATATATCTACTACGTAGATATTACAATGTATTCCATCTTACACCTCTCTCGTCCATTCATGATATTTCTCTGGACCACCAGGTGGACTTTTCCATTGCTTATGAGGTTACCAAGGTTCTAGCAGGAGGACTCGAAGCTAGAAGAGGAAGCCTTATGTAATAGATCTTATCGATAAGAAAAGAAAAGACTAGAAACGGATGGGAAGCGTAAGGCGGGGAACATTCATTGATCCAATCAAGATTTCTCATTGGTTGGAAATTATCCTTATCATAAAATGAACCCAATCAGGATTTATGATTGGCCCGAAATAATGCTGATCATAAATCGAACCCAATCCAGATTCATTATTAGTCATTGAGAAATCTGTATGGCCCGAAACAAAACGTGATGACGCTCAATAGGTTATAAAAGGTTATCGACATCAAAATACCAACCAAATACACCGAGGGACTTGAAGGGTCTCGTCTCTCTCATACCTCTCTAGTAATGATCATTCTTCTCTTCCTCTTCCATCGATCCATCACATGTTTTGTATTTGACATATAATTTGATTTGATTTGATTTGATTTGATTTGACTTGATTTGATTTCATTCATGAGCAATAAAGAATAACCCCAAATAACAAAAAAGAGAAAGATCTTTCCAAAACACCTTGTTGGATACTTTTCCACCTTTACCTTCACCTTCCATTTACCTCCCAGCGATTGCACCACACACGCACACACGTACACACGCACACACCCACACACCCACGCACATTCACACTCTCGTATACCCTTTTTGGATTTGCTTTGCTTCGAACCCAAATTCTCCCTTTTCATCGGGTCCATCATACATCATACATCATACCTCACACCTCACACCAAATACCGCATTCTACCCCACGGTAAATCTTTCCATTTACCTCATCTGCCTGATTGAATTCCGCTTTTCTTCAACATTTGGATAGCAAAGGTTCGCAGGTTGGCTCAAACGACGCTTCGAGATTCCAACCACATGCTCTATATCTCTTGATTCTTGCTATTGGGGCAATACTTCGACTCTTCTTTCCTTCTTTTCTTCGTCGTGCACACTCTACCAGCACCAGCACCAGCACACAACTCACATGCAAAGCAAGTATCCGTAAGGCTTGCAACCATGGAGCAATCTCCTCCAGATCAAGATGCTGCCCTAAAGCAATTCCAAAACATGTCGTATAACGAGTACGGCCAACAATATTTCCCCATGCAGCCACCTGGTGCGACAAGCTTTCCTCTAGATCCACATTACGCCGCATCGATGTCAACTCCTGCTCAATCATATAACAATGGCGGAATGGCTCAAGATGAGGTGTGGAAAACTCTGGATTTCGCGCAGCAGTTGAAATTACCATCGCAATCATATCAACCATACATTTACCATCAAACAATGGATCTTGCGCAACCATTTTCTTCTCTGCAGGATATACATCAAGGATATTCGAATTTGAGATCCGGCGCACACTCGCTTCCAAATTATACAGAGCAGTCACCTAGAAAGCGACAGAGAGTTAATGAAGCGCCTACTACAAATCACTTCGCGCATACAATACCAAAAGCACCTGAAGTCGATACAACGAGCGAGTGTTGTAGTTCTTGTCCAAGTGGTCCGCTGTGTGCCGAATCAAATTGTGGTGAAAATGATGTTGTTGTTGCTTGCACCTCTCAGGAGTGCGAACAACCCGTCTGCACTTCCCCAGAGTGTGAACAGCCTGTCTATACAGAGCCTTGTGCAAAAGATGGTGCCCTCAGCAGAAGATGTTCAGTTGTTGGAGATAATGTACCTTCTGGTAGAATGTATCAAAGTTGGGATAACTTTCCTGCAATCATGCCAACAGAACAGCAACGACCATCCAGACTTCAATCTTTTGCACCATCGACATCACAAAACAATCAAGCTCCGCAAGAGATCTCACCTTCTCCTGTACCAACTACACCATCTCTAGTCATGAATCCGGAAACACCTTACTCAGATATGACATCCTTACAAACACCTGGACTTCCTATGCAGCAGCTCACAGATAATATGTCTGGTTCATCGCTCAATGGTACTGGAATGCGTTTTGGTGATGGATTGGAGATGTTCAGTTGTAACTGGTTGGACTGTGGACAGCCAATGCATGATCAATTTGAATGGCATAGACATTTTCACCAGGAACATATTGATCCGCAATTTACATTCAATTGTCCAATGCCTTCTACATCTTGTCAAGCACCACTCAACTCGAATCCTTTAGATCACTTACAGATAAATCATGGCTTTACATTCGAGGAGAGTATCAACGGATTTCAATGTCCTGCTCCAGGATGTCCTGCCGAAGAGATGTATTGTGATCCTTCAATGCTTCACAATCACATTGATCAAATGCACGCCATACCTCTACAAGGACAACTACAGTGTCAAGTTGATTCTTGCAACACTTCATATCAAGATCCATTTCAATTCTTCAATCATTTGAACCATGATCACAATTTACCAATTCCAATGACTCCCGTTGAAGAGATTGATCTTTCAAGTATACCTGTGTCAGTGGCGGCAAAAGCGGAAGAAAAGACGAAAGGAGAGATTGCTTTGGTAGCCAAGAACAATGAACCAGAAGTACCTAATCATTTATCTTGCAAGTGGGCAGCCGATGGTCAGCCTTGCGGTCAAGTATTTACTTCCGAAAATGATCTTCAAACTCATGTCAAGGAAGTCCACTTATCTATCTTGAACAAGACTTCCGGTTACTTTTGTAAATGGCAAGGTTGTTCTCGAAAAGCAAAGATGGGTGATAAGGAAGGATTCTCTCAGAGAGGAAAACTTGAAAGACATATGGCAAGTCATACTGGATGTAAGTTATTTCGTGATACTTCTCTTGCCTGTAGAATACTGACCAAATTGATATAGTCAAAGAATGTACGTGCGATTTCCCTGGATGCGGAAAAACATTTGCTGCAGCACAATCACTAAAACAACACTACCGCCTCCACACGGGTGAAAAGCCATGGAAATGTCGATATTGCCCTAAATCCTTTCCTCAACAAAGCGCATGCACAGTCCACGAGCGTATACATACCCATGAAAAACCACTCGAATGTTCTATTTGCAAAAAGACTTTTAGCGAATCATCAAATTTGGCAAAACATAGAAAGACACATGGGGAGAGAGGTCATTATGAGTGTCCAGATTGTCCAAAGACTTTCCATCGGTTGGATCAGTTGAAGAGACATGCGGAGATGCATGAGAGGAAGAAGAAGAAGGCTGGAGAGGGAAGCAGTGGAGGCGGTGGGGATGGAGAGGAGGGAAAGAGTGAGGTCACAGAGAGTTTGGCAGGGGATAGTTTTGATGGACGTAGTATGAGGGGTATGGAGCAAGATGATAGGGATTAAAGATGGGTTGGGATCAGTGGGTGAGGGAAGGGAAGGGAAATATGAATCGGAGCTTTTGTGGTGATTACTGTAATGATTTTACGAAAAACAAAGATCATGACTTACGAATCATGAGTCATGGGACATGGGGCAGGGTGGGATTTGATACTAGCGAGCGAGAAGATACGATAGATTATCATGCCAGCGATGCATATAACGCGAAGTAAATATGGGTGGACATCAGAGTTTGAGAATACCTAGTACATAAATGCGAATGCGAATGGTTGGCTGGAAATTAAGGAAAATCAAGCGTTTACCTGGATAGATGGATGACGAATGGATCATATGAATGGTAGCAAAGGAACATGGAACAGTGGGTGGGAGAGAGGAACGGGGTGAGAAAATCAGGGAATGGAGAATGGGGATTAAGCATGGGAGGAGATACCAAAAAGTCTTTAGTAAATAAGGAGATACCTACCCGGCAGGCTGGTAGTTAGTGATTGATACCTTATTTGAATTTCAATAATGAATGTCATTATGAATTGAGATTGAGGCTGAGATGAATGGGTTGTGAAGTTTGAGTTGAAGAGGGAGAAAGGGAGAGGATATCTTGGGAGTGTGGAAGTAGATAGATTATTTGGTGAGATTACGTTTGATATAGCGAGTCATATGGAAGCGGGGCATGGGTCTATGTATGTTTTGAGATTCTATAAACCGCTATTGGGAATTCTAACATGCTATGGTATGCTATGGGGATATAAAATCAACATCCTGTTCTGTCCTATCCTATTTTGTTTCATCCCCTCTCTTTACATTTGATCGTTCATTCATCCGCCATCCACATGATGTTTCACTATCTCCATATCCAAGAGAATCCACAGTCTATGCCTCAATATACAACACAATTAGCTCAATCTGATGTTGTCTTACTTATGTACTTGCTTGCTTGCTTGCTTGCCCATCTACCCACCTCACTATACAGTACCAAGTGGTTTAGCCAGAGTCCTCATCTCAACCTCTCATTGATATCCAATTGATATCTCATCTATTATAATATGCAAAATCTGCAAAATCTGCAAAATCTCCAGATGTCGAAACTACCTGGCAATATCGAAACTACAATATCGGAACGAGCAGCACTGACAGCAGCAGCACGAGCAGCATCACTCACCATCAGTATCACTCCCAACAACCGTATCACTGTATTACCCGGTCTGCAGAATCACATCACAACAGAACGTGCGTCACAACATGCATCACGATATCACAACACAGAGACAATATCCACACAATATATCACAATACATCACAATATATCACAATATACATCAAGAAACACCAAATCACAATATGCATGTAATATAGAAAATCTACCTTTCATGTATGATGCTGTGAGTGCGACAGGGATTGCGACTGCAACTATGTCTATAATTGCGACTGTGAAGTTATTTCGTGATGAATAGGGATTGAGATAGAGATTTGGGATTCAAATGAGAGAGGTGAGAGACGCGGCACAGCACTTGAACTACAGAAAAGCAGGAAACTCTTCACCCACAATGTAAGGAGGGGAGATTTGAGAGTGCGTAAGTTGAGAGTGAACATGAGAATAAGTACGAGGATGAGAAAGAGTATGAGGATGAGGATAAGTTTGAAAACGAGAGAGGGTATGAGGATGAGAATGAGTACGAATATAGGAAATAGCAATGTTCGATTCATTGGCGAACATGTAGTGGACGATTAGTAACGGGGTAGGGAAGAGGATAGACATCCGGGGATTTTGAGGTGTTTTTGTTTTTCAGAAATTAGAAAGTATCAAGTAAAGGATGCGGTGGAGTGGGTATTGGTAAATAGAGATCTATGTGCATATTGTTTAATCCTTCGATATGCATGTATCTGTAAGTACAAGAAGACAATGCAGATAAGTGGTAGGGATAGTAAAGGGAACTGGAGTTGCAACTTAAAAGAGCTTTCTGGTCACTGAAAATGTTCGTGTAAGCTCAATGAGAATGCTGAGGATGGAGAATGCTGAGGATGGAGAATGCATGTATATTTGGAACTGGAGTACGAGCCGTGAATGGGAATTGGGGTATTGAAATGGATATGGGTGGTCTGGAACACTGTGATATATGATATTTAGGTAGTGCATTTGGCCTTAGGTAGAATCAATAGGCAGATGCTGGATTTGAGTGCAAGGGTAAAAATGAAATGATACCGCTTTCATTATGACAACATAATCTGGCAAAGTGTACTGGGGAAAATCAGCAGAGAATGGCATCATCGCGTCCATTGCTTCATGGGGATCTTCAGGTTGCGGTAGTATGTGCCAACCAGTACCAAAATTTCAAGCACGAGCCACAGCATATTGTGAAGTGTAACAGCTTGTTCGAAATCACTGCTGCAAACGTTCGTAGCTCTCCCCAATGTCGACGTTCGCAAGTTCCTGGGTATAATGGCCATAGAAGTCTCGAACCCTCCTTCGATTTCGGAACCATGCGTAACCGCTCGCACAAAATATCACACCAAATCCAAAGGACCCATTTGTTGTTTTGCTCAAGTCGTTTGATTTATTGGAAAAGGCTTTTTTACTAGCCATGCTATTTTCGTTGATACACCGTGACCCGTGCGAAAACAAACCAGGCAAAAGGCACCATGCCAGCCATCCTCACAATCATAAACACCTACGTCCAGAAAATCTAAGCCTCCGCCTATTATAAAGTTAGCATCGTATCCAAAAACCTTTCAATACCTCTCCATCATCTTCAAGCTCTAGGAAAAGATATTGACCCAAGGCCAGCGGAATCGCATACCTTGACAGCGAACTTTCTTTGTGGGAAGTGCATCGATCTCTTCTTGGTCTTCTCCAACTGCAACTCCTTCTCGTGCTTGCTGAGACGTCTACGGATGGCACGAGTTTGCTTGGCTCGGAGATCGAGAGGGAGGTACTTCTTTCCCTTGTAGAAGAGACGGAGTTGTGCGCGTTGGTTGGCGTTAATGACTGTGAGGACCTTGGCAATTGACTTTCGGACGTCGTGGCTATAAGGAAGATTTGATTAGTATCCATCTTAGTGATCTTGTATCTCGCAAATTCTCATCCAGATTTCGGCACGTCGAAAGAGTAACGATTGTAATTAAAGTACGCACATCTTAGTGAGCTTAGCAGCAGATCCTCCAGCAATCTTCTGAGTTCTTAATTGACCAAGCTCAGTCTTCAACTCTCCGAGTTGCTTTGCGAGGTCCGCCTTGTTCTTGGACCAAAGTTGGCCAGTCTTTACTTTTCCGGACGACTAATCGCGATGATCCGTTAGCCATCTTTCTTCCATAAATTGAAACGTCAACATCTCCCCAAAGAATTGGTCGCATACCATTTTGAGTAAGGGTCGGGTGGTTGTCGATTGTGGTTGTCGGGCGTCTCGTCGTCGTGAAAATATCGAAGTTGCTGCAGAGGCCGTGGAAACAAAAGTTAGGGTTTACCGAGCCCACAAACTGAATTTTTCAAATTTTTGGTTGACCAATCAAAGTAAAGTCACATGACTATAATATTCCTTGCCGGCGTTTAAGGTTTAAGAACATCGAATTGTGAATGTCAAAGAAATATAAAATTCACTCCCACTTCATTTATTGAAGAAAGCTTTTGAACCTTTTGATTTCAAGGTATCGCTACATCAGCGATGTCAACTTACTATGCTTTAGGAGCGAGTATGTGCATTTCTCTACGAGCTTCTCGAATGTCTTTCGGCGCAAAACCCAAGCTCTTCCCATCTGCTGTTCATTATTACAATCATAGGTAGGTGCAAGTCGTAAGTATCAATTTCAACCGGTCGAAGAAGCTTTGCGTTCTACCCTGGAGAGTAGCAGTCTGGCAAAATTGATGTACCTATCTTGTCGTCTAGGCAGATCTTCCCTGGAAAGATTTGTTCTCGTGGATTTCAGATCGAAGCTTTGGCTTATGAGAAGTATCCATCAGATACAACATGTTTGAATCATACATTGCCATCATAGAATTGGTCCGCATCTCTCTTGGAACACGGAATCAAATATCATCATCACGACCAATACAACTACCATAAAGCTATCACGTCACTTCGAAACTGGACCTACATCGAAGTCGAAATCCATGAAGTTCTAAAGGGTGATTGCCGCTACCAGTGTTGTGAAATTTTGATTTCGATTGGACATGGTGTGTTGGGATTCGTGATCGATGTTCTTGCCTCGACTTTAGGTGACAATGTCAGATAGGTTTTGTCAGTGCCAATGGGTCGTACAATCAGGAGTATCACAATGCAGCAATGGGTGTCGGTAACCTTAGAGCTGGATCAACAACTCTTTTATCCGAATCTAGAATATGAATTTGGAGGTCATTTCCGATGGTCGGAATCAGATTTGCTACGATGCTGGTTTTCATTTATGATACCTTCCATCCCTTGGAGGGATAACATCCTGAGTCTCTAAAACCAACAGGAAATTCACATAATCCCCTATCTTTTCGGGATAAGATCGATCTCTATTTTGATTTCCACAGTTCGCTCAAGTGTGGCGAAGGGACTGGGTTATGCGACAGCTCCATCACGGAGATCTGATGGATTGAGGTTCACAATCTTGTTCGTCATTTTGAATATAAAAGATTGACGTATTTTTGTGCTTTGCCAGTCAAATGGCTTGCCATTTACAATGATTCGAATTCTCATAACCGAATTTCAAGTTGGATTCCGCGATCATTAGTGGCTTGATTTGTCCAAACTCGATATAATCGATCTCAATATGTGGTTTTCCAGAACCATCTGTAAATCAACCCATTCAATTATTCTCCGCTCCTCTTTCCTTGGCAGTATTCTCATCGTTCTTCAAGTTATACTTCAAAACGGCAAGGAGTAAGGACCTATTTCTCTCCTTCCCTTATTTAGCATTCGAAGCTGGCAAATGAATCATCACTCCCAAGCTTCTAGTGCAGGTCTCGTGATAACCATTTGCATAATGTCTCTTCAATTGAAAAGTTTCAAACCTACCATAATCGAAGACGTAAATGTTTGCAACTTACTGAACTCTGGAGAGCGTATTGGAGTTACTGGGAATATAGGTTGTAAAATTAGAGGAATTGGGCTTAGAGGTGGAATTCTGGACGTGTAAGGGAGGGGCTGCGCGTTAATCACATATGGGTTTTACTCATGTTGGCCACGAGTGATCATGGACATTCTGCGCTGCTACTGGTATCATTTGAAGTAGGGGGGACACTTTCGCTGGGTAGTAATGTGCTACATCGTTATACCTGCGTGAAGGCCCTTCTACTTGGAAGCCAATGACTAACATGAGAGAGTTGCTGAAAGGGTTGCACAATCTTCTTTAGTGTGGAATAAGTAGTTTTAATGGCACGTATATGGTTTCGTATCTCTCCCCCAACTTCAGATTATCATCTCACGTTTCTAAACCGGTACAAGCCTCGCTTTTATGGCAGTATAAACATAAATCAACGGTCAGCAATAGCCCCAAACGACAGTAAAAATAGCCACAAATGCGATGACAACAAGGGAAAGTGCCGTCATCATTTTGCACTGATACTTTTTCATCAGTATAGTATACCACTTCCAACTCACAACCACAACCACAACAGACAACAAAACAACAAAGCACAAATCCTATTTGCGAATGGGTAACATAGATATTCAGCAGCTTCCAAGTAGGTTATGTCTGTTGTTTATATATCCCATCGAAAGCGTGGTGACGTTCACTAAAGCGACTCTGCGAGGAGGGTACCCAGTTAAGTGAATGCCCTCCGCAAAAAGCGGTTTCGACATCGCAGGAATTAGCTTGAGGGTTTTAGGTATAGTCAAGATTTGTATAGTGCAAGAAAATAAATTGCTTTAAAAGGATCCAGAAGAAACTGTCTAGATCTTCAAAATATTCCCTCGAGTGGAGATAACACTCACTACACATGCTTCATATTAGTCATGATCCCGTTGTCTGGAACCACCCAGGGTGTTCAAAGTCACTCCTGGATGAGAAATCTTGTGGGGGCCAAGAGTTCGCTGGATTCGAAATTCATCGATTTTCCAACTAGGCTCTACCACTGTCAAAAGGTTCGAGGCGAAAATGAAAGAGAAAATGTCGATGGTGAAAATTGCCGTTGTCATTCGCAATACTACGACTATCAAACAGAGTCCACCTCATCCGGGACTGTACGAATCAACCTTCAAGAAGGAAAATCAGAGCACAGAATCTCAAGCTACAACAATTGCCCCCGTTCCTCCCGCATTCCTTCCATCAGCGACGCGAAACAGCATACTACTAGTAAACTCGAACCAACCCAGAAATTACTCTTTAAATATGCCACTCCAAGAATTTTCGGATGACAAAGTCTACCCGCCCTCTCCCAGCTCCTTACACTTAAGTCTCTCATCGTCGATTTCTATATCCCCCGCCTAATCAATACCTATTTGATAAATTTCGCCCAGCTACGACCTATGGGAAAAAGCTTCTTGCGCAGAGATTCGAGGATTATCATGGATTCTCAAGTCACTACGATAGATTGTTTACGCAGTCTCTTCTAACTCTCTCGTTCTTATTCGAGTAGAGAGATCGGAGCTAAACTTTACCAGATCTCACACCCGATACATATCATCTGTCACTCCGCGAAACTCAACATTCAAACATCACAATGACAGCGAAAACCAGACGATATTCTAAAAGACAACAACACCACGCCACACACAAATCAAATCGACAAAAACCATTGCTTCAAGACTTGAAATTCGAGGGAATTTGGCCCAAGGCTCTGTGATAAATTGTTCTCCTCAATCGGGATTCGGCGATATCCTAACAGGATTTATGAGATCAAGAAGTGTGTGTTTCTTGTGTTTGAGTTCCGTTATGGTTTTCTAGATTTACGCATATTTTATATCTCCCCCTTGAATACTCGCCCGTGAAAATCATACAAGACGAAAGACACAGCTGCGAGAGATATTCTTCGGATCTCTTATCTGAAAAGACCTCTCAATGGTAATTCAACAACTGATTAGCTTTTAGCTGAACTACTAGATAGCTTGACGCCCCGCTTGAAACATTGATGATGTCATTGTGAGACTAGAGCATTCGTTTGAAAAATCATAGCTGTTGCGAGGGTATGAAATGAGATGAATGAATGGAAACAACATTAGTTTAAGCAAGAAAAGCCAATATTCGAACAGCAATGGATAGAAAAGATGACGAGATGAGCCTTTATCATATTGCAACTTGGCTGCGGTACCAAACATTTCCGAGTTCAATATTAACCATATAAAGAGATACTCTTATAAAGCAATGCAAAGGTATATTCTATTAGTAAAATCGCTACCCAATTCAACCTTGGTATGATGTTTCGTAGAATCCGCAACTAGATTGAAAAAGTCGTTTTATATACTGATCAATTTACTCCACCGCCACCAATTCAGTCGGTACTTAACCTCCATAATCCATCTCCCAAATAATGTGCATCTTCCACTACGGGACCCTTTCCCTTCTCCTTGACATCCTTCGTTCCCATGCTCAAAAGTCCCACCGCACAAGCCTCCTCCTTGCCTTCTGCACAAATAACTACTGGTTCACCAGTTTCCAATTCTCTTCCTCCATACCACCCTTCTCCCTCGCCAGTCTCTCCATATACACCCTCTTCTTCCTTATCTCCATTAGGTAATCTGCCGCCTGTAGATGTGAGACCTGGAGCCATTAGGGTAGCTCCCGAAAGTACAAATCGAATAGCACCGCGATCGATACGCAGACTTGGGAAGCAGGTAGGGAATCGGTGAACGAGTTTGAGATGGGGTAGGAGAGCATCGGTCATGTGCTGGAAGAATAGAGGTGTAGGGCCAATTAAGTAGAGAGTTACTCTATCTGGACTATATTCCCAATGTTAGTTTTAGTTTTCTTGTTGAACCGACATGCGATGAAGGGGTGTGCTGTAAGGAAGATAGAAGAGCAAGGAGGGTAACAAGAGCTTACATTTTCATAGCATCCAGCTGCTCTTTCTTTGGTATTATCTCATCGATATGAGGGGCTAATAACGGATATGTGTTGACGAGTTGAGTTCTGATAGCGCGTTGAACAGAGGACTTAACCTTGCTTTTTGAGCCGGGAGATATACTGTAGAAACACTATGATTAGCATTTATAGATCATTGGACTCGCATAAGTAGGATCGATATATCTTACTCTTTCTTAAACATCTTGAATATGATTCTGGTAGTTTTGTGATGGTTGTGACGAGGGGAAGATTTGTTTAAGACGTGCATGTGGAGAATATGCCCCGCGATACGGCAATCAAGTGAGACCTAAAACGCACGGACTAAAGAGGAGGGGTAAGTTGGAGGCTGAGGAGGGGTCTACGAATTACGAATTACAAGATACCTAGGATGATCAGACGATCACAACATGAGGTTATTCAGACATCAAGCACGCAAGTGAGGTAGGTACCGCATTCAAGCGTGGTTTTGTACAACATATTTACGTATTCTCATACAAGTTCATTACATTTCACCAAGTCAAATACATCCTAAAGACTCGAAACACTCGAGAGGCTCTCCCCAAATCATTAAGCTTTTCCTCCATCTTTCTATTGGTGGTTGACATGGGAAACAGTTCCATCTTCATTCAGATGGATATTGAGTCTACATGGGGAGTTAGTCATGGAGATTCTGGAAACTAAGTCCTGGTTGCCAGTGCTCACCTGTTCTCCTTGAAATCCTTGGTAACCATCGAACCAGGCTCGATGATTCTATGCTCTTGAGGAAGATCTTGCTTTGCGAATGTCTATTGATGAGTGGAATGTTAGTAGAGCATGTGGTTATTGTGTGACTATAAAACGACCAACATACAGTCTCATCACTGGAGTCGCCGATCTTCTTTCCAGCCAATTTACTCATCCACACTTGGTTCTTGTCATCGCCACCGGCAGCACTGTTGGTAACTGGATCGACGAGAGGCATCTTGGAATATGGTTTTGATGAGAAGTGTTTGATTTTTGATATTGGGAATATTACTTGAAAGTTTCTTCTTGGATGAGATTGGAAGTGTTTGATAATGATCATGAATAGAACAGCGGAAGATAAGGGTCTTTATGTTCGATGAACTTCCAACCGAGCCTTCCTTCTTCTTGTAACCCATTCCCTAAACAAGGCTGCGGCGCTTCTTCTCACCTGCTGAATTCAGATGGATACGTCATTGCCAAGTCATCATGTGATTGTATCAACACGTGATATGATACTTTCAGTTCAAGTTTTCGATTTGCAAACTTTCTTCCCTTTTCCTTTTCATTTCTTCATCCATTTTTTTCACCCAGGAGGAGAATCCATTCTTATCATAGATCCGTCCCATTTTTATTTATACCTTTTACTTTGAATTAACTCGATTCATTTTCTTCACCAAGTTTTTGGTCCCGCAAGATTATTTCTCAGGGCAATCTTGAGTACCATAGCGGTTATATCTACTGCCACAGCACTGGATGGCCCTTTAACATGGCATCAATAGTCAGTTCGGTACATTTTGGTCGTGGAGACCCAATTAACGCATCGACCCGACGGTACCAGGGACTTAGCACTGAGAGTTCAGGAGTGAGGACCAGTTTACAACAACCATTATTACTTTACCCATTACTCAAAACGCATTAGAAGTCCTTAGTTGCTCCCAATCTTCAAACGTCCGACAGGTCCGACTGGATCTATATGATGAATCTGATTTACTTCTACTGGCTGACTCGTCACCAAATGCGCAGTGAGTTGGGGGCTGCGACTGGTGGAGCGACTTTATATCCATTATATATGCTAACTTTAACTAACTTTTCACATCAATTACGCTATCCTGTACGCGTCCTCCCCAATCTTCATCCATTTTTCTTTAAAACATAAGAATCTTTACATCCCGAAATATTACCCGTGCAATATACCCGAGCAACGAGTAATAATAAGTATTAGCTCGGTTTGTTTGCTTCTGTCACAAGTGCACCGTTATGTATCCGTTACGCAGTCATCCGGTACAGTTGTACCATTGTTTTCATGTACAAGGGGGGAAAGGGAACAGCGCGTTATTGTCGGCTGCAAAATCCTTCCAATACCCCATGCCAGGCTCTTGTTATGGGTTGATTGTTGCCGCTGTAACACGTTGCGCAAATGACCCAGATACTGCTTTTGACGTTATCTTGGAGAGATGTTGAAGAACCTCAAGCATTCATCTCCCCCCATGGGTAGCTCCGAATGCTTACTTACAAGGCTGACCCTTTGATGCCCCCAATATTGACGTTTGATTTGTTTAACGTAAGTTTAATTGACAGGGGAAATGATGCTACGCCTCTCATAATATCAGTCTACCAGTGGGTGTACGGACTGACGGGACAATACAAAAGATTGACTCGTAAATATATCTTGATACATCCATTCGTATATCTCAAGAATTCCTAGGATCATTCATTAGGAATGGAACGATCAGAATGTGAACTTTGATATTAAACAATTGAAGAATGAATTTATTGAAAATTTTGTAAGTTGAGAAGTGTCCCGTCAATCCATGCACTCACTGGTGGTCCAGCCTTGAAGCTTCAAAGCTACACCTCGCCGCCTCGGGGCTTAAAATAAGTTGACGATAATCAAGGAAAATTGTTCGTTGCCCAGCTTTGAAACCCCTTGATAAGCATTTTTTTACACTTATCTAGTGCTTATATTCCCCTCCATCTTGATATTCACTCTTGTAGTTTATTCTGATCAAATTCTTATTCAGTCCTTGATTCTTCCATCTCTGCTATTACTCGATATCAATTGAGAAAACTGCAATATTTTCCCTCCCGACTACCCCGAGAAGCTCTTCTATTATCTCTTGACAAGATTCAAACATGCGTGCAATTTTACTTTCCTTATTGGCGTCTTCAACAGCCATTGTCTCCGCCTACCATTCTTTAATATCAGATGGATGTATACAAGGAAATTTCCATGATCTTGTGATCAGAAACTCCTGTGGAGATGATTTATCAATTGTCAAATGCCTTGCAGAAGATGTTGATTTAAGACACTTGGATCAAATTGAACAATGTTTCATAGCTGGTGGATGCGATGCGATTGATTCTACTGTGTCAGCAGCATGGTTTTCATACGAATGTAATGATCTTCAAGGATCGATTGAAGAGTTCAAAAAAGAGGATTTAAGAAAGAGAGCCACCGAGACAAGTTCAACTGCTGAAAGTACAACGGAATCTACTACGACAACAGCTTCATCTTCGAGTTCGCGTTCTGCCAGTACAACCGCCGCGACTACCACAATCTCCGCATCTACAACCGCTTCGACTTCAGCATCTTCTTCGAGCTCTGCGGCTTCATCCACGACTGCTACAACTGCAACTGCAAGCGCCACTACCTCTACCACCGCAAGTACAACTTCTTCCTCGACATCCGGTACAACTAACAGCGCGACAAGTAGTGGAACTGGAACCTCTTAAAGCACACTAGTCTGTTCCACAACCTCCTATTATTCCACGAGTGTATGTTCTTACGGAACAGGTGCTTCCACTGGTGTTACCATTGGATGTGCCACTACTTCTGCCGCAACGACAACTTGCGCAGCAGGAGTACTGTGTACAACTGCATCATCAGGAGAAGATGTCTGTATGGAAATTGACAATTCGCTTACGTCATCCGGCTTAGCAGTTACAATCTTTTGCGCAGTTTCAATTGGTGCTTTCGTTATTGGACTTATAGTAATTGGATGCAAAGATCTTCAAGCCGCCAATCAAATTCGAGCGGCCCGTTTGGCACAACTGGATGCAGAAAGCAAAGAGGCAATACAATCATAACCAAAAGAGATCCAGGTCGGTCCGACAACCAGATACTTTTGGACACTCTGAGGCTGATTTACCTTTGATTACGGAGCCTAGCCATAAGCAACCTTCTTCGAATGGAACTCATCACAACGCTTAGATGGGAGCTTGAGTCCGACATAAAAATGCTGAGTAATGGGATTAGATGAGGGCGCATGAGAATGGAGTTTGGGGAGTTTGATGTGAATCGGATTTAAGGATCTGTATTTAATATGCTTCTGGCGTTGATATATATACTATACCCTTATTTTGATGATTTGCCATGTCTATTTCTATACATAGTTGCGTGATAACGTGCATTTTACTTTTGATGTTTCTACCATTTCGACATGATTTCCATGACAATTATTCCATGATGTAGCCGAGCGGATTGGAGTGGTGTGATAGAAATACTTTCCTCTAGCATTTGCTAAAAGTAGCAATGTAAAAAGCCAAGGAATTCTATGATGTCAAGGCACATAAGTCATATGATATGCTCGATTCATCTCATTGATCTCGTCCCGCTACAACTATGTTTTACTCCAGTTACCAAATTATACCAAACGTATATGAATACCTTCTAATTCTATAAGTCAAACATAATACATGATTTTTATGATTCAGATTCTGAATAATAAGTGACTGCTTTTATTAATAATGTTAAGCAAAATGCCTCTATCATCAACAATGATATGGAAGTAGACCAGAGATTAGGTATCTCGGGACCTCGAGTGAGAAATCCGAATGTGAGATGGAATGGGTGAGAGTGGGAGAGTATTGTTGCTGAGACAGGCGAGGAGAGGCAGGTATGAGGCTGGAAATTTGTAAGTAGTGTTATCTGAAGCAATTAGCTTCTAGTTATTGGAGGCTCAGATTCCAAGGCTTTCTAGTATAGCATGAACCAACTAGTGGCCTGGTATGAGATTGTAGTACTTGAGGTGTTTGGATGATGATTTCTTTTATTGATTAATGAAAGACAGCTTTCAAAGCCTCCCAAACGAGCGGAAGAGAAAGATGATGTTGCGAAGAAAAGTTCTGAGCCGTCTTCTGCGGAAAAACTGCTACCTCGTCGACCAACAGAGAAACTGGGTGGTGATAACGATAAACGTGAAGGTACTGGCAAGAGTGGTCAACGTGCACCTCCTCGCAACGATGATAGAGGTAAGAGACGTGATCCTCCTAGAAGTGATGAATGTATACCTCCTAAGAATGGTGAAAATGGAAAGAAGCGTGAGAAATTTGAGCCTCCTAGAAGTAGTGAGAGCGAAAACCACGAGAAGCGTGTACCTATCGAGAGTGGTGAGCGCAAGAAGGAGTATGAGAAGTCCAAACCTTCTAGTAAGGATGTTGAATGTGGGAAGGGGCTTGAGCAACTTGAACCCCCTAGGAGTGGCGAGCATGAGAAACGTGATTCTTCTCGTAAAGATTCAAGATAGAGGGACATAAACCTCCTCGCAAAGATGATAGAAGTAGAAGACTTGATCCTCCTAGCAAAGATGATAGAAGTGAGAGGCGCGATCCTTGCAAGAACGGTGAGATTGATAGTAGATCTTCCTCGCTTGAGACCCAACCAGCAAATTGAAAGTTCAATAAACACATCTAGGCAAGATCTGACTCCGGCCGTCACTAAAAAACCCAGTCGCAAACCCCATAAGCCTCAAAGATGGACAAGCCTTGGATGAAGTAGAAGCACAGGTGTTATGGTACGAAAACAGAAAAAATAGTACACGCCGATAATGTCACTGATACGAACATTGCAGTAAAGTCAAGACTCCCAACAGCCCGGATTGCAGTTGACAAATCAATAGCTTTCGATTTTGAATGTCATTAGAATTCCCGGAAGATTTACGAAACCACTCATAATTTCCTCGTCCGGAATATTGGAAATTCCGAGTAAATATATCTCTTGAGATTCTTAATCGCGATCTTCTTGCGGGTATTCCTCAACCTGGGGAAGTGAGAGTTGGGTTTTGGGAAAATATGATTGTAATGGAATAGGGCCGACACAGTGAAAGATTATATGCCTGGTACAGACAGAAGGGACACGAAAATGAAGGTTCCGATAATTGGTCAAATCAAAATGCTAAGAAAATGGCTTCTCACGTGATCATGAGGTAGGTAGGTACTAAACGATTGAAGATTCTAGGTTGCTATTTGAACTCATGTATTTCTTTAATTATTGGATGATATTGAATCAAGAATCATAGTACATACCACTATGTTTATATATCAAGTCAATCAATTTCAACCTTGTACAGATGCATGCGATACTACCGCAATGTGAATTAAAGCTAAGTCGAACAAGATGTATCACTACATTAACTCTCATGCCTATATGACAGACAGTTCATCTGAGAATAATCAGGCGCATAAACCCGTATATTATCCCAATCACAGCCGTATAAAATGACATGTCTTTTCCACTCTATGGGGAGCCAAGAGCAAGAATGTAGTTTATAGGCTGAGAATCTGGACACGGCTCAGCCGCACTGTGGTGGCATTGTGGCTTTTTATTATTATTATTTAGCCCCTTCTCTCACAATGAGGCTCTCATAGGTTTTTATAAGCACGCATTAATTTAGTTAACTACTAGATCTCCAGTCTCTTCTCCTCAGAAAATTCCTCGCCAACAGCGATCATGGATGCACAAACTCCATTTCACAGTCATACGGCTCCGTCTTCATTCCAACCTACAGAGGAATTTCAAAATATCTCCCCTCATTCAAACCATGATAATGATGGCGAAGCGGAATACTTTCTGGCTACCGCTGAACCACCGCAACCCGAAAAGGCATCTGCAATAATCCACCAGAGGCATTCCCGTGACTCAAATGGAGCATTCGAGTTGGAGAACCATAAGAGCCATCACTGGTGGAGGCCGATTGCTTTGATGATTATGTGGTTACTTCTGGGCTCCTCAGTAGGCCTTGGACATCACTTTGCGTATCAAAGTCTTGACCAACAACCGCAAACCGTGTTCTCTCAATCTTGGGCACACAATCTCGGCTCCGCCGCAGCTTTTTTGGTAAAGACTTCCTTCACACTTACCATCTTATTAGCCCTGCAAGAAGTACTTTGGTTCAGTTTCCGCAGAAGAGATATCAAAATATCATTACTAGACAAACTATTCACTCTTTCAAGCAACCCCTTTAGCTTTGTCCCTAGTGCATTTGTAAATGCACCGCTAGCCATTACTCTAGCTGGTTTTGCTTGGACCATCCCGATATCTGCCATACTATCTCCCGGTAGTTTGGTTGTAGGACCAATGGTTACTTTCAACGATAGCATCTGTATCGTGCCGACTTTCGCTGCATCTTCGCCCAATATAAGCTTCTATCAGATGATACCCCATGGTTCCGGTATCCAAGGGCCTAATACCGGTATTCAAAAATTAGCCAGCCAGATCTTTGCTCAAGGAATTATTCTAGATCCTAAATCGCCTTGTGGAAGTAACTGTTCATTTCAACATTCCTTCTATGGCCCTGCCTTACAGTGTGTCAACACCTCCAACCCGTCATATCTGAATGAGCAAGTGGCTAGCTACCTTTACTATAACGCCACAGACTTGACAACCTTCAATGAGGATGAGGATTCGCTCATCGAGTTGTCAATTACGTACAGAAATAACACGAAAGCAGAAGTCCAAAGCGATCTTAACTATGTATCAATCCTTTGCACCGCCTACAATGCAACATATGAACTTTCTATTAATTATACAAATGGATTGCCAAAGTTTTCCCCAAGTCTCACCTATCACGAACAGCTCCAAAATCTAAATATGACAGAGTATGTTTCCCCAGGAAATTACCCATGGCATTTAAACTCTGCAACACTAGTTCGCGAAGTCTACGACAAGCATCTTAATGGTACATGGGCACAGTCACCCACAACACAGTATTCAACACCTCAGACAAACATAGGAAACACGATACTTGTTGGAAACACTGTCAATGCCAACAGCGGAGCGATCTCATCTCTCTGGTTCGTGAATCGAGACCTTGTTACTGGCATTCCAGAGCTTCTCACCAATTTAACCATCTCGACACTTGCGTTTAGTCCTGAAAGTACAAGTACAAGCTGTTCATCTTCGAAAGAAACACTAGTGTATTACTACAACCCAAATCTGCTATTGATTCCTTATTCTATCGCTTTTTGTCTTGGTCTTGTCTCATTTCTAACAGGCGTTTTTGTGCTTATGCAAACGGGTATTCGTACCGGAGATATCTTTTCTCAGATACTTGTTACGACGAGAAATCCATTTTTGGACGAAATCGCAAGAGGTCATTCGTTAAGTAGTGCGGATGCGGATGTTATGAAGGATTATAAACTTAGACTGGGTAAATTAAAACGTCCTCATGGAGAGAATGGCGATTATAGTGATGGGGATGATGGAAGAGGGGCTGAGCATGCGGCGTTCGGGCTTGCGAAACAGGTGGATAGTCTATGCTAGAATTGTTGAGACAATTTGGAAGATCCAGAAAGATTTTGTGTTTTCTTTTGCAGCAGTACAAAACTGATTATTGAATCTGCCTTGAAGATCCCATTCTTTCATATGAGCGGGTAACACAAATAACAGGACGAGTGCTTAATCGAGTAGATCAAAGTGTTTCGGCCTTATGCAAATCATTCGCGGCATGTAAAAGGGCAGATCTGTCATCATACCGGAGAAATTGAAGGATTGGCAGATCGATTTTAAATTAACATACTGTCAATTCTTGCCTGAACGTGTTTCCAAGCATTGTCGCTTAATTTTATTGTTACCCCTTAATCAAATATGCCGAAATCCCTCATTATCATCGTGTCTCACTAAAAAACTATTATGATTTGACTTCAAAACTACAAGGACATGTTTCTTCATCGAGTGCACTCTTACACCTTGATCAGCATATTATTCCACTTTTCTCTATTTCACAAACTCCGATTCTTTGGAGGTTATCGATTGCAGGCTTGCCAGTTTTGATAAGATTATATCATTCGAAATTTATCGAAATTCATAGAATGTTAGTGAGATTCTATGAATTGCCAACTTAAAAAAGATGGAAAGAAAATTCAATCCATCGACTTTTAGCATAATATGCACCAGAGACCCCTCGGCCTACTGAGCTAGTATTAGATCCCCACAGTGAGTGACAATTCAGAAAGTAGAACTTTGAAGAGAATGCCCAACAACTCTATGATTCATTCACACTACGTAGGACGCTATGAGTACGTGTCCATATACTTGGAGATAAAATGCAATTAAGCAGTGATTTTCAAACCCACAAATTAATATAGCTTGTGATTTTACTCCTAGACCGAGCCGACGGGCGCAATTTGCAAAGCATTCACCATAGGGGCCTAGAAGTTTCGTCTAGAATTATTGCAACAAGAAAGAGATATTATATAAGCTGCTCCATGATCTCAAAAACAAGACAATGAATACGAAAATCTGCAACTTATATGGCAAGGGAGCTAGATTCAGCAAGGCAAAATCGCATAGATTACGATGGGCGCAGTCTTGTAAATATATGTTTGTAGCATCGAACGAGAAAGAAATAAACACTATTGGAGAGTTACGATGTCACTATTTCGAATTTTTGTCACTGTTTATTGACTAGCGCTGTCAATGTGACTCTGATTTAAGAGCTGTCACCACTTTTGCCGAGTTTACTCTATTAAACTCCACCATCCTGCCAAATATCCTCCCTTCCCACCTTATTGAGAAAAGAACCCTTGCCGATTCACATTATCAAAATCTCAACAGGAGCGATATTGTAGATGATTTGGCCTGTAAGCGGTCATAAAAAGGGCCGAAGAAACATCAGGAGCATAGGGAAATGGCACAAAGTCTGCTAGAAATAATCTGAAAACGAGAAAAGTTTTCAGTGGGGCTCATGATTCACTCCGCATGATGCGAACGTTGGTACTTGGGGTTCTTCAACAGACTTGTATAGGGAATCGAGTGATCTTTGCATATATTTGCTAGTCTTTTGATCTGTGAATGGCTAAGACTTAAACTATCGTGATAGTGATGAGATGAGATGTAGAAAGACATACAATACGAACAGAGAGATTAGGTCACCCTGTAGAAGCTTGGAAGACAGCGAGTATCGCTTGTGTATAAAATGACCACAAGTACTTCCACTGTTCGATGAACTCACCAGCAATCTTCAAGACGCACACATAATTGTTATACTGGCGGAAGGAGGATGAGACTGAAATACTGGTGGTAAAGCCGGAAACATGAGCTCCACCTGACATGAGTTTGGTTTGCATATTTTTCTGGGGACCTTTACCACTGACAATTTAGAATTTTACTCTTCGGTGAAAATGGGGTTGGAAATGGTGATCAGTAGCTGTCATCTTGCCATGCCCGTTGCCATCTGGGGCAGAACAGCGCTACCTTCATTCCAATTTCGATGGCCGATAATTCAAGTATTCGACTTTCAAACGAGGTACTTGGATCTTTAGTTTGGAATGTAACTTTAAGAATATAGGAGATGGAAGACTTCTTCAACAAGCGACTTGAAGTTGATCCTACGATCCTTAAGGGTTAAGGATCATACCGTATTTTGAGTGCACTACACCAAAAGAAACTCCGATTAGGGCACTGTGTCTCTGTTCAAATGTGAAGAGATCATAACCTGAATAGAGGCCAATTGAAAGTAGTAAAGTTCATCGCATGAAAGCATCTAGAAAATATGCCAAAGTAATTGATTCATATAACTCGAAGGGATACAGTTTAATTGCAGTATATTCGCTCCCAAGGCTTCACATATCAATCTAAGAGCATGGGAAGGTATTCAACTAGAAACGCTTTAACTATAGGTTTCCACCGAAATAGTAAATCTTCAATAGAACACTACTGACGTATAGGTAGGCATTATCAGGTGATGTACTTCTGAACCATTTAAATGTTATCTATGTGAGCTATCTGGGAAATGCCAAACGGATATCAATTTAATACCTCATGTCAATCCCAAAGGTCAAACAGAAACCCTCCTTTCTGATTTTTGTTCTTTCAGGTTTGGATTACCAAAGTCTACCACGAAAGCTTTTTATGATAGCGGATGTCCCACCGAGAAAAGTTGTGCTAATTTTGGATAGTATTAGACTCCCTTTCGCATTCTTTTTGTGACCCAGATTCAGACTTCGACCTGATTGAATGGTCTAGAGGGCTGACGGAGGTGAGGACGTCAACAATTTCTTCAGCGATAGAGGCGTCTAGGGGTGAACTTGGCGATAAAGGACGCTCTGGATCTGGATCTCGATCCGATCCTGAATTTGGTATGGACCTTTCGGAAAAGTTTGCTACGTGCTGATTCAAGATGCTTTGGTCCGGTACATCCTGGCCATCGTTTTCATTGGAGGAGTGTCTCGGATATGATTCCACAATTCCATCCTGCTTACTTACACCAAAAATCTCCTTCATCTGCCTCATTTTATCCTCTTTTTTCTCTGTCAGTAACGAATTCGCAACTGCTTCCTTGATGGCATCCTTATCTATACACCCTGTCTCAACCAAGCTCCACGGCAGCCACGCACATGCCGCTCTAGCCAATTTCTTGCTCGGTTGACCCCCAACCACAATCGTTCCTACACCCTTCCGAGAAAGGCGTTTCACCAAATCCCCAAAATCAGTATCATCCGATATCAGTATCAACCAGTCGTACAAAGTTGCCTTCTTCTGTCGCATCTCATTTGAATATGCTACGATTGCTTTATCCGTAGCCTGCGAACTCGATTTAACGAGATTTACCACGACTCCTGCGCGCCGAAGCTCAGTATCAAGTTTATACCGATCAACAGGCCTAGTGATTCCCACGGCCGCCTCATGATACTTAGCGTTCTTCTCCTTAGATAGTTCTCTCGCCAGAAACCGAGCCTTCTTTTTACCCTTAAGCTGCGCTGCCCCATTTAATATCTTTACTCTTTTCTTTTCATGGTTTTTGAAATGATTCACCAATTCCACTTGGGTTTTCTTTTTATTGCCACAGATACCACACACGTAAGGCTCATCAGGGTTTATCTTATACTTTCTGTGCAACTTATGCTCCAGTGCGTAATACTCTTTCAGTTCTTTTCTTGATTCTATAACCGAAGGAGGGACAAATGACATTCCAATTCGATTTGCGAAGGCGGAAATATTAATGACGTTGCCGAAGCGGGAGGCAAATACACGGAGATTTTGCGCTGCTTCGTACGGGTTGATTGAATCCATCGGTCGCTTATTGTCCAGGTCCCATAGGACAATTACTTTTTGTTGGGAAGATTGAGAGAGTCCTTTTTGTTTTTGAATATCATTCAACGCTGATAAAGCCGTGCCCGGCTCCCCAGGTGTGATGGAAGATGCTGGATGAGTGGAGTGAAAGTGCCGTGCAGGTTTGATGAAATCTTGAAAGCGGGGGTATAAAAAAGTTAGGAATGGTTTATGTGGGAGACACTTCGAGGCAAGAAGATGTCTTGACTTGATCGGGAGCCTCATAGTTAATATCCCGAGTACCCGTTGTGACTTTATCAGAGTAATGTACTTCCTGTTTTTGTGAAATAGAAGAAGCTTGTGACGTACAGTCTCGGAGAACTGTATTTCCACAAAAGCTTTCACCCACTGTGGCAGTGTTAGGTCTATGAATGAGGTTCACCAGGTCTAAATCAGTGATGTGAACTCGAAAAGATGAGGATTCACTCCTGTGAGTGATCTGTGCGCACGAAACCACGTGATGTATCTCACACATCATTGGAGGTCAGCTAGCTAGTCACTCGACCATTATTAAATTGTGTTTTTATCGAAGGATTTGACAGTGTTAAGACGGGTGTATTCTATTACGTAGAATCAAGAAAGACATACACAGGAATGTAGTAAGATACCGATGTCGACCAAACTCGGAAGATATGATTTCATGATAGAAATAGAATAGGTCTAGTTTCTCTATTGGTCATGCTGGCCAGGAATCAGACATCAACCATTGGTCTCTTTGAGCCATAATTTATGTCGCAGGAAACTTTTGTTTAGAACAGCGGAATATGGTATGAACATATAATTTGGGATCCCGATGAGTGCTTGCCTCCATTGCTTCCTGACTCACATTATATATGAGGCTGCGAAGACAACCCATTCAAGTAACCCAACACTCTGTTTACCAACTCTGGTACAGCTTCGGGACTCTTGGTCAAGTTATGCGAAGCGCCAGGGATAACAGCTGAATTCTCCTCATCGACTTTTCCATCTCCTTTCTTCACAAACCCGATCCATCGTTTTACAAGTGCCTCTTTGTCGATATACTTCGGAACGTATTCATCGTTCCCAGAGAACAAGATTAACAATGGACTTCTAGCCGGCAAACTTCCAAAGGTCTTCTTCAGTTGCTCGTCTGTGAGATCAGAGCTAAAGTAGTCATCATCTCCATCATGATTTGGACTTGCTAGGGAGAGCCATCTCCTCGCAGACACAGGTGACCCAAAGAATCCTTCCGTGGCTTTAGAGGGTAAGATTTCCTCACCATCTCCAGCTTCAACCATCTTCTGTGCTAAAGAGATACCATTCTTCAAGACATCTGCATCAAGTTCCTCTCCTAAAGCTTCACGATCGCTTGCTGGGGCTTGGATGATCCCTCCATCAATAGGAGCATTTGCTTCATGTCCGGGCCCTGTTAGGTATTCCATGACATCTTGACAACCAGTAGAGTGACCCATCAAGATGATCTTGCCTGATTTGATTGATCGGAAATAGGAAACACATTTAGATAATTCCTGGGCATCTTTTTTGAGGGAGGAGACACCCCATCCGATGTATGCAGAACTTAGCAGAACTTGAGCAAGACACCAATCTCCTGGTAAGGCATTTGCGATTGATGATGGGTACGGCACGGTAAGTAAGCCATCAGATAGACCACCAATAAAGATAATGATGTTTGGTGGTGCTACTTTCGTAGCTTTGGGTGTGTGTTCGAAAGCAGTCAGTTTAGGTGTCTATATACTATTAGTAAAAGCATTGTTATGCGGAAGTCTAATCGTTTGACATAAGCTAGCGATAACCCTCAAGAAAAACTATTGATTCGTTTATATATCAGAATGAATCGTGTGGGTACATACAAATAAATGCGTAACACCTTGCCTCTGCGCTGGGACTGTGAAAGGCATACTGATGTATATATATTTTTAGATTTACTTTGCTTTTGGGGACATGGAAACAATCAAACTCCGCAAAAATAGTGATTGTAAGACTGTAAAACTTTACTGTGCCACGTTCATCAGAAATATAATTGTTAGCTAGGTAGTTGACACCGGCCAGCTCAAACTGGATAGATGGTTGATATCCATTGCGCACTATTGCTTTGTCGTCAACCCTAATATCACGTGCACTACATACAGGGGTATAACTTTACCTGGACGAAATTTATTTCTAACTTCCAAGCCTCTTTCTTTCTATTTAATCTACAACAACAAGCTTCTTTACCACAATTAATCACCCTCCCCCTTTACAATAACTACAATCTTCAAAATGCCACCTCATCTTCCAACCCCATCACCTCTCTTCCGCCTCCTCACTCCACTCCTCCAATCTTTCAGGGCTACCTTCCCCTCATCAACCTCAACAACACCCCTCAGAACCTTCACCAGCACCCCATCCATGCACAAAAAGAATCCTAATAGCAAAACCGATCCACGAGTAACCCTCATCCGCTACCATCTTCAACATCCCAAGACACCCCGCCCACTGCGGTTCTCACGCATGCGTGCGCTGAGGCATTGGACAATTCATCGTGCATGGATGATATTAAGGCGAAAGCAAAGGATTGAGGAGGAGGGCGAATTACACAGGTTTGTTTCCCCACTTCCACCTCGCTTTGATTCGTTATGAGAATCTACTGCATTTCAATTCTTGTTTTTTCAAATTCGAAAATTCGAAAACTTATTCAATATGATGAAATATTCCGGATGTTAAACACATTATACTCCGAGAGCGCAAAACCCATGTGGAGATTTCCGTTGCCTTCCTTCTGATTGTCTATTCCCCATTCAAGCCTTTTGAGGCCCGTCTTAAACTTACATATTTTTCCCTTCCTCACCTCTCCAAGAGACTAACATCCACCCCCTCAGACTTCACCAATCAATGTACAACGCAATGGAAGACCTTCGTCTTCTCGACGGCTCCGGCCAGAAAGAAGCCGGTAGATTATATCGCGTCGCTCTCGAAAAGAAAGGAATTTTCGGAAAAGACGGAGTCCCGATTGAGTACGCGAGAGCACAAACCGACACACCAGCGAAAGAACCATGGAATCATAGATGGACCACAGATAAAACTACTATACGGTGATTGCAAATGTAAGACTAGGAGCACCCTCATTTAATTTGTTTGTTTTCGTTTTGGTGGAGAGTAACATGATGATATACCTTATTCACAGACCTGTTCTGTAATCTTTTATGTGGACAAAAAAAGTACCAACTGCTGTCTGATTTCTCTCTCTTCTACTGTTGTATTTCGGAATTGGGAGCGAAGAAATTGACTAACCATTTACTAGGGTCATGTACCGCGGTACATTGAACAATTTTGAAAGATGAATACTGTGAAGTAACCGTATGTTACTTGTATCTATTATGACGGCCAACTTTAATGACATGGGATGAAATATGCTTCGGAATAAAGACCCCGAACATTTCCCAGAACCTCCGTCCCAAGGGACTGGCGTTGTGGCACTAGATTAGACGATGCAGAATTAGGCAAAATAAATGCTGCGAAAGACGGAACAAGACGCCGCCTATAAAGTCTGTACGAAGTTACGGAAAGAAGGTCAATTCAGATAGTAACCGGGTGATACCCCACAAGTCCGCATCAAACGGTACTTGATATGTAATTCTATGTACAATGTCGATGTCTTTCCATCTCCATCTCTCCATTTCTCAAATATGCATCAAGTCCCCATGCAATCAATATCCATGTTAAATCCATCCATGACCATAACCCCCTTAACTATAACCATTAAAACCCAACGCTAATCTGCAATACAAGCAAGTGCACCAACGCATCACCTTCCACATCACTGTAGGATTATCTCTTCTGCTTTTCCTTCCAATCCGAATATCGAGTCAACCTCCCTCTTGCCCCTTTCCAAGGCTCTCCCCATGGCTTCCAGGGATGTGTAAAATGAAATCCCGATTAATAAAGGGTAAATAGTGAACTCAAACAGGTACAAAGCTAACGGAAACCAGGCTGAAAATCCTCGAGCTGATTTCGACAAAGGGCTGAACTGCAAGTCAGACCATGTGTTTCCGATCAGTCATTACTAAGTAGCTTTATCCAGCCTTGCCACATCGAACATTTTATTACCAGCTAGGCTCGTCCCTACTGACAGATATACAAACGCCCGTTGGTTTTCCAGTGTCGTTGAAATATCCAGATATAGTAGGTAGAATTGCCCGTGATAGTGCTACGGAGTAGATAACTTCGGACTCGTTCGTGCATTAGTAATGGTTGTGGAGATTTTGCCATTTTCGACGCGTTCCAGATATATCCTTTCGATTCTTTTCGTCTTGGTTCAACGTACCCACCGCCCCCCCTCTTTTTCCAAACTCCATTCATCATCTTTTATAGTATAACACAGCATCCATTACTTTCTCCTTTTTCGAACGTCAAAAGTGCGGCTCTGGTGGCTGCTTCGAAGACATCATCCACTCCGTCACCGGTCAACGATGAGCACTCCAAGTATTTCCTTGCGCCAATGGCCTTTGCAATATCATCTGCTTCTTTCGTTCCCACAAATTCAAGAGACTTCTTTCGCATCTCCTCTCTGGCCACAGGATCCTCTCGTAAGTCCTTCTTGAGCCCAACAAGTATTATCGGGACCCCTGGGCACCGCTCGTTCGCCTCTTCGACCCACTAGCCAAGACATTAGTACTTTGTATCAATTATTTCTAGAGATTGGAATCCTACTTTGTGTTTGACGTTATCTAAAGAATCCGGAGTGTCGATTGAAAATCCTATTAGAATAACGTGGGCTTTCGAATATGCCAAAGGGCGCAATCTCTCGTAGTCTTCTTGTCCTGCCGTATCCCATAATGCCAATTGTACAGATTTTCCATCAACTCTGCAATCCGTCACATAATTCTCGAAAACTGTTGGTACCTAAAATTAGATAAGATGTCAGCACAATTGAAAAAGGCAAATGCGCCAAATTGCTACCAAAAAAACGTACGTAATGCTAGAAATAATGTTAGTGATCATTTAACAAAACATCGATCTCAGGGGACGACTTACTGTCGGAAAATAACCAAGTGTGAATACACTAAGTAATGACGTTTTTCCGCAAGCACCATCTCCAATTATGACCAATTTCCTGCATGAATATTAATATCAAGTCTTTCAATGGCCTGCTACTTCGTCACAACAGACGCTATCGAGACGACGCTAAAAAACACTAAGAGAGGTTCGTTGCTTTGGTGATCCCAAGAGATAACGAGGCTGAGTAGAAAAACGAGTCGCCCAAT